CTTATGATTCCCTTAACTGTCGCTATCTACTCGATGTTCTACGTGGTCGGTGTCCGGTCCTGCTCGACCACCGGTCCAGTATATAATATCCCATATCAATACTCATATAGTATTTAATTATAAGAGGGAAATTATTAGATGAAATAATAAAAAACGTACATGCATTCTATATAAGTATATTATTTATAGAATTTATACCATAATTCTCTAAAAACGATCAATTTATTGGTATATAAGATTTATGTTGCCATTTTAAATTTATATTATTTTTTTGATTTTTTTTTTATTTTTGTAATACTTTTAGGTTTATTAATGTAGTATTCGAAGTATATACGAAATTAGATTATTTATTTTATTATTACAATTGTAGTTATTAATATATAGTATATGGTGCTACATGTGATGCCATAGAATTTCTAGTATAGTAAATTCAACATTTATATTGTTCTTTTATTGTAAGAAAATCCAGCTATTTAATCTAACAATCAAATAATATGTAATACATACTATTATTATTGTTTCCTTTTTCTGATTTAGATATATAATATTTATTCTTTTTTACCCAAGAGCGCTTGGATGAGATGGTTTGAGTCTCTTCCAACTTAACCAATGGTCTCGTGTTCGAGCCCTGAAAATGCAGCAGTATTAAAACTCTTGAGGGAGAGCTTTGCCGCCCTTGTGGTCTTACCTGGCTTGATTCCGGATTAATCGGTTCCCCTGTGAATCCAGAAATCGAAAGGTCTCTATACACAAAAAAAAAAAAAAATTATTCTTTTTTATTTTGTAACATTTGCATATGCTCAAGATTCGCTCTCCACAAGCACAAAGTATAAATTGATTTTAAATAAGTTGAGTAACGCATAGTGCTCAAAATTCAATGACGGCCAACAACCAACAACCAACAACCAACAAGTTGATGTACACCCTCCAACGTGTTAGAATAAAATAAAATGTTAATTATATATTATTAAATATTTTTCTGTACATAATATTATTTATTTTGTTTTTCTTAAACGGTCTTTGACATATAAAAAAAAAAAAAAGACATACACAATAATTTTGTTTGATATAATAAAATAGAATTTATACGTTTTGATATGCACAAAAAAAAATACAATGAAATAAGTTAATAAATATGACTTACGTCACAAAATCTAATACACGATAAGGTTTACTCTAATGTTCAAGTTACATGTATTAGACCCACCATCAATTTTTTTTACAAACAGTTCAAACATGTTATGTAAATAAACCGGATAAATCGAAATTAAATGAGATGTATTAGAAAATATTTTTAAAATTGGCTGAAAAAAGTACAAATCAATTTGTAATATTTTTTTGCAAAAAATAGTATCTTTCAAATATGAATCGCAGCAAAAAAAAAAAAAAAAAAAAAAAAAAAAAAAAAAAAAAAAAAAAAAAAAAAAAAAAAAAAAAAAAAAAAAAAAAAGAGAGAAATAGACTACTGCATAAAAAAATCGGATAATGATGTAGAATATTAGTATCTTTCAAATTTTAGTTGCAGAAAAAAATGGAATAACAATTCCAAAAAAAAAAAAGGAATACTACACAAATAAAAATGGCGGGTAATTTTGTTAAAACCATAAATAGAAAGTTTAAAATGAATTAATTCTGATTTTTACTATAATATTTAGTAATAAGGTAAGCTTGTTATA